TTGATTTTTTTTACAGAGAGGAAGGGAGAGGTATAGAGAGTTAGAAACATCAATGAGAGAGAAACATCGATCAGCTGCCTCCTGCACACCCCCTACTGGAGATGTGCCCGCAACCAAGGTACATGCCCTTGACTGGAATCGAACCCGGGACCCTTCAGTCTGCAGGCCAGTGCTCTAAACACTGAGCCAAACCGGTCAGGGCAACAACTGGTTTTAAGAAAAGAAATATAAACAGATGCCATAAACTGATCTAATTATTTTCCCCCAACGACTTACAAAAATAAACTCGATTTTTCTTTATATCTTTTTGGTTTCTGACACGATGGTCAGAAATCTCTTAAAATATATCACTGATACAGGGAAAATGCCGTCACCTTAATACGTCTTGGCTAAGATGCTGCTCTTGTTTCAAAATCCTGTATCTCTGAGGTAACTCTTGAAAGGGCTCTCTCCAAAGACACCTCTTTTCCTTATGGGGATGGAAGAGATTAGTAGCTATCAGGGAGAAGTTCCTTTGATTTCAAAGATAAGTTAAATGTAGACACTTTGATAAAGAAATACACGGTGTGGTATTAGTGTTGAGGAGGGCAGAGGTGAGGTGAGGTTTTCTGAGTTTAAATTGATTGGAAGTTTTTCTTTGACATTGACGAAGAGCAAAAGGGAAGTTAATTCACTAGTCATTTACCCATTGAAGTCGGTGTGGACTCTTACAGCCAGATGGATAGTAATGAAGACAAATCTCCTGTGAAGTAAAATTCCCTGAACATCTGACAAATCTCTTTTGTCATTTTTCCCACTGCTAGGAAGACCTATTTTGGGATACTTACATCTTACCACTTGCAGCTAGGATGGAGGAACTCGTTTACATATTTTTACTGTTCAGAAGCTGTTTTCCGCCATTAAATACCTCCCATCCCTGGCTGGAGGGCTCAGTTGGTTGGAGCATCGTCCTGTGCACCAAAAGGTTGCAGGTTCAATTCTGATTCCATCCCTGCTCTGGGCCAGTAGGTCTAATAGATGTTTGTTTGTTTGTTTTTATTTCTTTCTCACTCCCTTCCTCTCTAAAAAAATCAATAAAAACATATTCTCCGATGAGGATTAAAAAAATAAAATAAAAGTACTTTCCATAGTAATCAGTCAATAGGTTATTATGGGTTCCCTTTCCAAGAGATACTTCCTCTGTTTTATGTGTCTCAACATGAGCCATTTTCATCCCCAACACCCCCCCTCCCCCGCCTTTTTAAAAAATGTTTTTATTGATTTCAGAGAGGAAGGGAGAGGGAGAGAGAGAGATAGAAACATCAATGATGAGAGAGAATCATTGATTGGTTGCCTCCTGCACACCCCCTACTGGGGATCGAGCCCGCAAGCCAGGCATGTGCCCTTGACTGGAATCGAACCTGGGACCCTTTAGTCCGCAGGCCAAGGCACTATCCACTGAGCCAAACCAGCTAGGGCTCCCCACCCCTTTTAAGGTGCTTTTGGGATGGACAGGACACTGTGTGTGTGCTTAGACTATGAACTTGACCTGGGAGGTCAGAAGTAGTTTGCTTATCCCCAGTGAAGTCCTACTCTGAGTACAGAGTTCTTTCAACTGAGAGCTCACAATATCTCTGTGATCTGTTAACCATTACTCAGGCCCGTGAGACATGCTGTCCTTCCGGGGGGTAAGTTAGGAGGGATTATGTCTGAGCTCTGGTACAGTCAAGCTGTGAACCACCTATAAACCCTGGGCAGGGAAGCTTAGGGGTCCACTTCCCTAAATAGACTGGGGACACATTAAGACATTTAAATAGAAGCCCCTTAACTGGATAATACAACAAGTTCAAAGAGAGTGAGCCCAGGGAAGGATCTACTTGTAGCTGGCACTCTGTGCTCAGTGTGGTGGCAGGCTCTGCAATGGCAGATACGCTTAGTGGTTCAATTCCATCTCACATATGTTTTTGGAGGCAGGATTTACTCCACTGCAGCCCTAGTATTATTGCCAGGGTTTTATTTTTTTATGGTGACATTTTCCTGATTCTGACAAAAAAGTAGGGGATGTGTTTCTTGTTGGCTTATATATTTTGGATTCTACAATCAAAACATACAGCCATCTCCAAATGAACGTCTTTTGTGGTTAGCGTGGCTTTTTTAAAAAAAATTTATTTTAGAGAGAGAGGGAGAAATAGAAATATCAATTATGAGAGAGAATCATCGATTGGCTGCCTGCTGCACGCATCCACTGGGGGTCGAGCCCCAAAACCCAGGCATGTGCTCTGACCAGGAATCAAATGGTAACCTCCTGGTTCATAGGTCAAAGCTCAACCACTGGGCCGTACCGCCTCGGGCTAGCTTGACTATTTTTAAAATTAAAATTTTAATTCAAATGTGTCTTTCTTGATCTTTTTCTTTGTGACTTCTGTTATTTTTAGGCATGTCTAAAATCAGACAAATATTAACGAATGTTTTCCATGTATAAAAAATATCACTTTTGCTGAAACCGGTTTGGCTCAGTGGATAGAGCGTCGGCCTGTGGACTGAAGGGTCCCAGGTTCGATTCCGGTCAAGGGCATGTACCTGGGTTGCAGGCACGTCCCCAGTGGGGGATGTGCAGGAGGCAGCTGATCGATGTTTCTCTTTCATCGATGTTTCTAACTATCTCTCTCCCTTCCTCTCTGTGGAAAATCAATAAAATATATTTTTAAAAAAATATCACTTTTTACATTTAACTCTCGATTTCTTGTGTGGACCCTATATTTTTTCTATCTATCTATCTATCTATCTATCTATCTATCTATCTAAAGAATCTAATCATCTGCACTGGTACATTTGTTGAGTAAAATAGCCTCTCCTACTGGTATGTGATGTTGCCTATATGAAGTAGAATCTTACATATTTTAAAGAGCATCCTATTATTTCTCTTACAGGCATCAGTTTTGAATGTCAAGGAATCCAAAGCTTTTGAAAGAACGGTTGTAGTTGCTGGTCTGCCGGTTGGCCGTTTTAATGATCTATCACTGACCACATTAGTGAAGAGACATTTCCAAGATACCAAGAATGAAGGCGGGGTTGTTGAAAATGTGATATATCCAACAAGAACTATGGGAGTTGCATATGTAACATTTAAAGAAAAAAAAGGTATTTCTAAATCAAATTTCTGTAATCTTAGAAATGTTTCTGTAATGAAATTAAAAATTGAATTTCATTAAAATGAATCATGGGATTGGTGAAGTTTAAAGTAGCTTTTAAAAAAAGTATTCTATTCTGGTTATAAAAGTGGCACAATATTGTACCAGCAAGAATATATGTGGGAATTGCCATGGCTGGTGTGGCTCAGGTGGTTGGGCATTGTCTCTGGCACTGAAAGATTTCTGGTTCAGTTTGCAGTCAGGGCACATGTCTGGGTTGCAGGCTCGATCCCCCCCAGGATGCAGCAGATCAATGTTTTGCTCTCGCATTGATGTTTCTCCCTCTCCCTGTCCCTTCCTCTCTATGTTCTCGGAGAAAAAAATTAGAAAGTGGTACATGTAGTGATAGTATCTAAAGCCATGGATCACCCAGGAGGTGGGTAAAGGTTAGCAAAGAGTTTTGAGGCCTGAGATATAAGCATGCCAACATCTAGAAAATGGGAAGAAAAAGAGAATTAGCAGAGGAGACTGAGCAGGTCAGCCAATGAATAAGAGGAAAAGCAGACAGGGTGGTATCCTGGATTTGAGAAGGTGAAGTTTCCTGTGGCCATAATTAACAGAGTGGGAGATTAACTTTTAGGTGTTTATTTTCTAGTCATATATAACGATGTGTGTTTTTTAAAGTCTGATTAGGATCATATTTACACAAATGAATTTTAATGTATTAAAAGTAGAAGGGAAAACGATTTAAAAGTTGAATTTAGAAGAAAAATATAGAAAAAAAAAATCCCAGGCATTCTAACTAATAAAGTTGAACATCTCTATTATTATTATTATTATTTAAAACTATTTTTATTGATTTCAGAGAGGAAAGGAGAGGGGGAGAGAGAGAAACATCAATGATGAGAGAGAGTCATTGATCAGCTGCCCCCTGCACACCCCCTAATGAGGATCAATCCCGCAACCAGGACATGTACCCTTGACTAGAATTGAACCCGGGACCCTTCAGTCTCCAGGCCAACGCTCTATCCACTGAGCCAAACGAGCTAGGGCTCTATTATTATTAATTAAAATAATTATTAGTGTATCAAGGCACAAACACTTCTGATGGCACTGTTTCCACTTAGTTGCAGAGAATGTCATCAGAAAAAAGAAACACTATCTAGCAGAGAAGGTTGGACCCATTCAACTCACAGTCTCTCACTTTAGTGAAAAGGTAAGGTGTGACGCTGAAGGCCTGCTGTTAGTCTTGGATCCCGTCTTTTTCTATAGTGTTCCCTACGTAAGAGACACAAGTCACTGTTATCCCATGATTTGGAAAGAAAATCCAAACTCCTTAACCTGAGTCAGTGTTAAAGGCCAACCCTGTATCTTAAAATTTTTTGATTACTGCTTGGCCTCTTTTTATGTTTCTATACGTCCCATGAGATGCTTTTAAAGTGATAGTGAGCTTTTATGCTCTCATGGATGATGTCGGGTATCTACCTAAAAACTTATTTTGGGAAAAAACAAAAACCCATGAACATTAAAAAGAATCTTTGAAGATACAGGAAAGGAAGAAATCAGGCTAAAATCCAAAGCATTGGTTTAGACTTTATTTGGTAAGAAACCCAGGCTTCTGTGCAGTCATCTGATGAACTTGAAACTTGGGGGCTGCCTAGGGGGACCACTTTATCCACAGAGCAGAACCAGAACAGTGTATATCTATGGGTTCTACTTAAGACTTTGTTTCAAAAAAGCATTCTGCTGCTAAAAAATATTTAGCCAGCTCTGTTTTGGGGAATGCAGCGAGGGACTGTGAATCCCAAATTGAACATTGTGGGCTCCATGGGGTTGTGGGATCCCTTTGATGGGCTGCTATGGCGCAAGAAGCCAGTCTGTGTCAGGGAACTGGGGACTGGTTTAGGGTAACTGTTGCAGAGACAGCGGCAGAAAAAGATTGTGTTTATGCTGTCTGCTCCAGTAGGCAGTGCTGTTTTAATTTCTCTCTCTTTAATTTTAGGTCTTGATCTCTGTAAATGCTATTCTTGATCTCTCTGTTTTTCGAGGTCCATTCCCTCTGGAAATTCTGGTGAGGGACCTGAAAAACAAAATTCCAAGTTTATGCTTCAGTCCTTTGGAACAAAATGGAAGAATCTCCGTTCAAGGATCCTTTCTGGCTATCAAGAAGCTCAAAGAATCTTTGCTATTTAAAGCAAGTTCTCTTTTAGAAAAAAACAGGAGTTGTATCAGTGAGGGGGAAAAGAGGAGTAGACAGAGCCCCAGAAGGAGTCTACAGAGAAGTAATAACTCTTTGGAGTCACCCAGGTCCTCAGTACCCGAGACGGCTAGACGTGGAGAGACTGCCAGATGTGGAGAGACGCTTGTTCTCGAAACAGATGTTTTTCTGTACCTGAAAAAGAACGGCTTTTATGAAAGTACTTTGAAAAAATTTCATGTGCTATGTCAGGAGAGAGTGGAAGGTGAAATCACCACAATTTGCATAAAAAATGCTCGAGATGGTTTGCCGCCAAACAATGAAAAACTTGTAAAAGAGTACTTTGAAAAATATGCACATGCCCTTCACTTTGAGCTTAGAAAAGAGACGTTTGATTTGGAAGGAAAGGAAAAGAGAGAGAGAGGAAATATTAAGTTGGCATGTGAACAACTAAGTTTGAGGTACCATCAGAAACTTCTGGTTAATTTTTATAAGACACACATTGATATTATAGGATCATCTTCTGACGTTTACTCGTTTAAAAAAGAGCTCATGAAATTGATAAGGCAAACAGGTAGGTGATAGAATCTCAGCAATAGTGATGATAATGGCTGCTGCTTTGCCTTCCTGAGCAGTGAGGAGGCCATGCATGGTGATAGCTTTACCCATTTTATCTCATTTAATCCTTGAGACCATCCTTCGTTAGAGTCATTGCTATCCTGTTATAGGGGAAGGAACTAGGATTTGGAGCGGTTAAAACACATGTCCGAGGTTATCTAGCTGGCAAGGAATGGGGCTGGGATTAAACCCAGTCTATGTGACTATAAAGGTAATATCTAAAGTATAAAACTTTGAAAAAAAACTCATTAAGCTTTGAAGAAATCTCACTTTCTCTGAAACCCCAAATTCTTGGAAAAGGAAGTAGCTTTAATTCTAATACGCGAGAAGTTCAGGTGATGATGATTACGCCATTGGCAATTTCTTAGCATTTACAAAGTTTGCATTTATTCTAAATAGAATAAGGATGCTGGCAAGCCCTGGCCAGGTAGCTCAGTTGGTTAGTGCATCATCCAGATATATCAAGATTGCAGGTTTGATCCCCAGTCAGGGCACATACAGGAATCAACCAATGAATGCATGAATGGATAGAGCAACAAATCGATCTCTCTCTCCTCCACCTTTCTCTCTAAAAATCAATAAAAAAAAAAAAATTAAAGAAAATATGTTGGCAAAAGTCACTTGAGAAGCTACTTTCTCTCAAAGTCAATCAATAAATAAAGAATTTAAGAAAATAATGCTTGCAAAAGTCACTTGGGAAGTATTTCTGATGCAAGTTAAATTATTACTTAACTAAACCCCATTGGTGCAAGACTACTAGACATGGAACATTTTTATCTAGACTAACTGCTTACATAAAATGTTGATTCTGTTATAATTATATAGATAGTGTAGCATCTTTTTTCTTTATTCCTCCTTTTATAATTGTATTGTTAAAGCAACAACATTTGAGGAGTTAGATCATAGGTGATAAAAATAATGACATGGGTACTGGCACTATCAGAGGGAACACTTTGCAAAGTATATGACTGTCTAACCACTATGCTGTACTCCTAAAACCAATACAAAGTAATATTAAGAGCAAACTGTAATTGAGCAATAAAGTCAGTTTTCACATATGGAACTAAGAGGAAAAGAAATCAAATGAAACATTAATACAAAAAGAATAGCAAACACTATTTGCCAGGCATAATTTTAAGGGCTTTACATATCTTCATTTGGTTCTGACAGCAACCCTATGATGTAGGTGCTGTGTTTATGTCCTTTTCACAGATGAGGAAACTGAAGTCTACGGATGTAATGTAACTTGTTCGTGCTCTTAATTACTGTACTGTGCTTCTCCCTTTTATAGAAGTAGTCTCCTACATTTCTACTTAAAGAATTAAGAAGTAAGAGAGGACAGAGGATTTGAAAGTTCTCTAGTGAAGAAGGGAAGCCAGGGCTCACAAGTCATTGAGTTGTATGACTACTCTGAATTTAACTTTGGGTTAAGCCAGTTTTAAGAGGCTGGGCCACTGCAGAGACCCTCTTGGGATAATAAAATGTTTATATCTCACATAGCTCTAATAAACAATCATGCTTATGACGATCGGAATTGTTTATATCAGAACAAATGAAGAAAAACCTTCACATGCTTTCATTTTTCTCAGCTATCTAAATCCCAAATATGTAAGTAATTCTTAATTCTTTAAACACAACATTTCATTTCTGTCTGAGTAAATACTTATCATGGGAAATTTGCTATTTATATTGAGTGCCCAATAAAGTATCTTCAAGAAGTTTGTCTCAGTTTGGGTCCAATCAGGAGAGAGAAGGCACACAATAATTTGAATAGGGAAAGTGTAATGTAATGTAAAGAGTTGCTAAGTATAATAGGGCATTAAACTAATGAGGGATTGACTAGCAAGAAATAAAGAGAACTAAAAAATATAGAAATAAAAGATATAAGGAGCAGTTTAGATAGAGCAACCAAGGAGGAACTCCTCAGCCCTCCTCTGAGAGCCAGTCCTTGCTGGAGGGCTTGTACTAGGGGATCTTACTGAAAATCCATCCTTTAGGGAGTATCTCACCAAGGGCACTCCATTACAAAATGGCTAAAGGGGCTGCTGGGGAGACCTTGTGTGCTAGGGGCTGAACACTGGAGAGGCTGCCCATGGTGTGTAAGCCTGATGGTGCATGCTTCAGAAGCTGGTGCTGGGAGAGCTGGATTCTGGGTAGCCTGCCTATTGAATACACTGAAACAGTCCTTTCTTTTGCAACGTCTCTCTGGCGCCCTCTGCTGACAAACCTTAACATCCTGTCAGATACAAAAGAAAAATCAAGGGACCAGATCTATTTTTATAGGGTATACACATAAGATGAATTTAAAGCTGACTCAATAAATTAATAACTGGCAGAGTTATATTTGATACCTACAAGGCTTTCATGATTACCAGATATTGAATACCAACAGAGTAGTCTTTCAACAAAGAACTGGATCAGAATAGTGAATCTCATTCCATGATCTGATATAAATTAAATACTCATTGGACTTAAAGGAACTGGTACGGCATCTTCTGCTTGAGAAGATGATATATCTCAGGTGTTTTTACATATGGCTGTCCATTTCAGCACTCTTCTTATAATATGCTAGCTGTGTAACCAATTTCTATCTTTAAAAAAACTCCCCCCCCCCAAGTGGAAGTGCTGATTTTTATTAAAATTTATTTTTGAATGTTACTGGTGCCCAGGCAAACGATGTGAATTCCGTCTTGTTGTCAAGCCTAACCCTGTTGTATGTCTGCCATTGAGAGAAAAACCTATCATTTAATTAGATAACAAGCTGATACTTCTCAGAGGCTGCAGGTAGTGAAGAGAGCCATTATCAATGTTTAAAGGGATGCAGGAGTTTGAGATCATGATCTACAAAGGAGAAGAGTGGGAGAAAGGGCGCTTAGGCATCTGGGTAAGAAACTCATTCAGAAATTTTTGTTGATCTCATACTCTGGGACACTATTTTGCTGTGTTCGGAAGACAGCAGTGGGACATACGATAGAACTATTCACCGACTCCTTAGAAGTCTATCAGAGAAGGGAGGCAAACAAGCCATTACAGCAGTGCAGGCTGTAGAAGTACTTGGTGTGGGGTGTGTGTATGTGTGTAATTCTTTCCTAGTCATTTCCAATTTATTGGCATAATTCTCATACAAAAAGATAGTATATGTTCAAGTTTTCTTTACCTTATTATTGAGGAGTAAACCAGCAGAATGACAAAACTGGTTCAAAAAGAACACAAGAAATGGAACTTAAAAGATGACTGGAGAAAAGCATGTTAGTAAAGATTGCTAACCTGGCAACAGAACTGGCCAATGTCCTGTAATGCTATAAAATTGTGATTTGGCGCCCAACGTGATTAACTACCCATCTGGCACTCAGTTAAGGGGTTTTATGGATTTATTCCCTTCCTTAGTCCTGTTAATCCCTAACTCAAGGGAAAAAATCCCCACCTGGGGAAACCTTTCTCGGAGAGGTGACCTCGGTTAAAACACATAGCTTCAGGAAGGGGAGCAAACATATTAAGAACAGTATGCCATTTGCCGGAAGAAGGATTGTTCCCAGGCTTGGGAACCCAACATTTGCCCCGCTGGGTTTTGAAGTTGCTTGGGACTGGTGACTTCTTTGTTATTTCCATTTTCTCCCCTTTTAAATTGGCATACCTGCATCGGTTATCCTATGTCTACCCCTCCATTTGGGGAGCAGGTAAATCATTTCTTGAGTTTCACAGGTTCACAGATAAAGACTAATTGTGCCTAAGGATTAGCCAGAGACTGACCAATACCTGATGAGATTTGGGACTTTTGAGTCGATGAGCTTTTAGACTGAGTTGATGCTGTAATGGACTGACATCTTTGGAAATGTTGGGATGGGGGAGAATGTATTTTACATGTGGGAGAGAAGTAGATCTTTGGGAGACAAAAAGTAGAATGCAGTAGGTAGAATAATAGCCCCAATGATGTCCATATCCTAGTCCCCAAAACTTTTGAATATGTTATTTTATACAGCAAAAGTGACTTTGCAGATATGACTATATTAAGGATCTTAATGTGTAGGGATTAACTTGATGGGTCTATTATAAGGGTTAAGCAGTAATAAAAACTAATACAAGTGACCACCAAAGACACTTTTTTTAACATACCCTGGATCCATAGGAGATATGCATATATATATAATATATATGATAGATATACATGTATACCATACATACATATGCATATATATCATGTATACTAATCCATGATAATTTGTATGTTTGAAAATATTTTTCCGTCTGTGATCTGTCTTGTCATTTCATGTTGTTTATTATTAAACAGAACCTTAAAATTTAAAAAAATAAAGTATAGCTATAGCCCTAAAAAAATAAAAAATAAAATTCCAACCAAGGTCTTTGCATCATCAACAAATAACTATTGTTCTTTTGAGGAACAACTTTTGGTCTTCTTTTGATTCAAATTTGGCAATAAAGTTTTTCCCTAATAATGAAGCAATAGGCTTGGAACATCAGGCAACATTCAAAATCACTTCTTCCCAGGAAACAAGCAGTAAGAGTCCCCTCTTCTGACACTTTAGTGTCCAGACTGAGAAATTCCATGGAGACAAGGACACCGGTCAGCAATTCCCTCCCCAAAGTTCCTACCTCCTGATCCACAGAAAAACAGCAGGAACTGGATCCAGAAGGGGCAAAGCTGATCATTGTGTTCCTTTGCGTTGTGGAGAACTAGGCACAAAATAAGCCTCCTGGTCATGCCCATAAGGCTCCTGGCTCCCAGGGACTTCTGAAGAGCCAGGGATCCAGACTCTCAGAGAGCAATTCCAGTTGAAAAGCCAAGATAAAAACGGGCCACCCAGCCCTAGCTGGTTTGGCTCAGTAGCTGCTAGAGCATCGGCCTGTGGACTGAAGGGTCCCAGGTCTGATTCCAGTCAAGGGCACATGCCTGGGTTGTGGGCCCCATCCCCAGGAAGGGATGTGCAGGAGGTGGCCGATCTGTGATTCTCTCTCATCGTTGATGTTTCTATCTCTCTCTCCCCTCTCCCTTCCTCTCTGAAATCAATAAAAATATATTTTAAAACAAACAGTTTTCTAATCCATTCATCTACTGATGGGCACTTAGGCTGTTTCCAGATCTTAGCTATGGTGAATTGTGCTGCTATGAACATATGGGTGCATATATCCTTTCTGATTGGTGTTTTTGGTTTCTTGGGATATATTCCTAGAAGTGGGATCACAGGGTCAAATGGGAGTTCCATTTTTAGTTTTTTGAGGAAACTCCATACTGTCTTCCATAGTGGCTGCACCAGTCTGCATTCCCACCAGCAGTGCACAAGTGTTCCTTTTTCTCCACATCCTCTCCAGCACTTGTCGTTTGTTGATTTGTTGATGATAGCCATTCTGACAGGTGTGAGATGGTACCTCATTGTTGTTTTGATTTGCATCTCTCGGATGATTAGTGACTTTGAGCATGTTTTCATATGTCTCTTGGCTTTCTGAATGTCCTCTTTTGAAAGGTGTCTATTTAGGTCCTTTGCCCATTTTTTGATTGGATTGTTTATCTTCTTTTTTTTTTGCATTTTATTTATTTTTTTTATTGCTTAAAGTATTACAAAGGGTATTACATATGTGTCCTTCCCCCCCCCTTGACAATCCCCTGCCCTCCCTTACCCCCCAGTGTCTTATGTCCATTAGTTATGCTTATATGCATGCATACAAGTCCTTCGGTTGATCTCTTACTCCCCTCCCTCCTGCCCCCCAACCCTCCCTGGCCTTCCGCTGCAGTTTGACAATCAGTTTGAGGCAGCTCTGCCTCTGTATCTATTATTGTTCAAAAGTTTGTAATGGTCTTTATTATCCATGAATGAGTGAGATCATGTGGTATTTTTCCTTCATTGACTGGCTTATTTCACTTAGCATAATGCTCTCCAGTTCCATCCATGCTGTTGCAAATGGTAAGAGTTCCTTCTTTTTTACAGTGACTTTGAGCATGTTTTCATATGTCTCTTGGCTTTCTGAATGTACTCTTTTGAAAGGTGTCTATTTAGGTCCTTTGCCCATTTTTTGATTGGATTGTTTATCTTCCTTTTGCTGAGTTTATGAGTTCCCTATAAATGTTGGAGATTAAACCCTTATCAGTGATAACATTTTCCCATGTAATTTTCTGGAAGTTTTAATTCTTTGCTTTTCACATATAGGTCTGTGATTCATTTGGAATGAATGTTTATATATATATGGTGTGAGGTAGAGATCAACATTTCCCATCCCAGTTGATTTATGACCATTTATTGATAATCTCTTTCTGCACAGTATTGCAGTGATACCTTTATCATAAATTGGGTAACTATATGTGTCTAGGCATATTTATGGACTAATTTTTTTCCCATTGGCCTATTTGTCTATTCTTGTACCAATACGATATTTTAATTTCTATAGCCTTATAATACATCTTGATATCTGTTCCTCAACTTTGTTTCTTTTCTTGAAGATAATCTTGGCTATTTTGTAATCAGATTTTTTAAAGTAAATCTTTATTGTTCAGTTTATTACAGTTATTCCTCTTTTTCCCCCCCATAGCTCCCCTCCACCTGGTTCCCACGCCACCCTCCGCCCTCACCCCCCCCCATGTCCTCATCCATAGGTGC